GTGGTATCTGAGCAGCATGCATCCCTGCAACCCCCCAGATTTTTTTTTTACGTCAGGGGAGCATGGCCCCTTGTTTTTCCTCTATATTGATGTTTTTTTCAATTAGGTGTGCAGTTTTAGTGGCCATAATATGAATTGATACGGAATATCACTACCCAGTCTTCTAAGACAAAGGCATCACAGTCCAGATCACAGTGAGCAGGACATTGAGTCATTGAGTCAAACAGTAAAATTCTTTTCGCATGAAAACCAGTTTAACCACACACACACACAAAAAAACAAACCCAACAAAACAGTCTGCTCAAAAGTTACAGAGTAAACAATAGAGAGACATGCAACAGAACGGTCTATCTCAGTAAAAAAAAACACGTGAAAAACAAACCAAAAACCAAAATTCATTAGAAATTCATAATATGTGTCACGACATGGTGGAATCAGGCGCTTGTCAATATTGGGGCATAATGGGTTATTGCATCATCTTAAAGCCTGCTCCTTTGCCTTCCTTTGGGTGAAAAAAACATCCATTTACATTGAATAGAAGTTGAAATATTTGCAATTGAAGGAGATCAGGGTTGCCTGGTTTCAGATGTAAAATTAGCGAGAAAATGCTCAATAAGGTTTGGTAACTTGCCCCCCTGAAACGCCCTAGATTCTTTTTAGGTTAGGGCCCCCCGCCAATCAAGTTTTTATTAAAATCAAGTCAAATATTACTATTTTCAAACACCAATAACTCAATAACTATTGATTTGCGGCAAAAATGAAGGATTCGGGTTCAGCATGCAAAATGCTGCTACAAAAAAAGTATATGTACATGAGACAGGTGCATGAGTAAAAAAAACACCAAAAATTAAATCTAGATCTCGATCTACCTCTTTGCACAAAATTTACTCATCAAGTCAATGAGTCAATACTTTATTTTTGTAGGCAGGCGCTTTTTGCAATGCCGCGTTCTGAATAGCTCCCGTGCTATTTGAAACCCCGCGTTCTGAATGAATAGCTCTCATGCTATTTGAAACGCTGGTATTTTTTTACTTTCTCTCCCCGCCTCACACTTAGCTACCAGTTGTCCATTTTCTACTAGTCTAAATATTGATGCCCTGAACACCAATATCAACTTAATTTCCGTCTCAAATTCAGAGTTTTTAAAATATCTGCTGATTGTTCTTAAATAATAGATAGATCTAGTAACTCAAAACATCAATCAGTACAAAACATCAATCACTCAATGACAATGAATGTTGTCTCTAACAGAAAATGTTAGGCACACAAAATAACAATTTTGAAGATTCAGCTGGAGTAAAAAAGTAGGGAGGCGGGCCAATGATGCCGAGAATACGCCAGCGCCGTGAAGGAGTAAACGGGCAAAGCCCAAAGGCAAAGGCAAAGACAAAAAGACGTTCAAATAGCCTACGACTCCCTTGCTTGTCTACGACGATCTAGATCTAGACTAGAAATCTAGTCATCTCAGGAGAGATCTTACCTGGAATTCAGGGGTCTCACTCGAACAGCAACCTTCACAGAAGTCATGTTGGTGGAAAAATGTCGCCAAATCAACTATATCCAAAAAAAGAAATCATTAGCCATAGCAATAGTCAGAAAATGAACACACACACTTCCACAACTTGCGAAGTGGACAGTCAAGCGTTACCGTTATCGACTGAACGCCATGTTTACCAATGCCATATGATGCCATAGCCATGTGACCATTCTATAAAAAGTAACAACGGTGTAGAGTTACAATAGGTCGGCAAAAGAAAAAATAAATACATTTTCACGAAAAAATGAGGAGTAAAATTCTTTCTCTCCAGATACTCAGGCAAATAATTCAAGACGTAAATAGGAATAAAAGAGACCAAAATTGTGATGAATAGCAAACTAGAGGTGAAGGAAAATAATGTACGGGAAAGAGGCTTGGAAAGAGGGCATCTTTTGAGGTGTTTCCCTTAGGGTTAAAATTGAAGGGTGCCACCGTATTTCGTTTAACTCGGAAGTGGAAAGGGAAAATTTGCGGGAAATGTGTCCATTGTTGTTGACTTCGATCACCGGAAGGCGGAACGATCCTTCACTTGACTTGGTGAAATAGAAGGCCTAAATGCGAAAGTAGGGAACTTCCACTATCGCTTCAAAATGGGTGTCACATCCGAGGAAATAGCAGACGAATTTGATGCTTTTGGGGAGCAAATTGACGATGATGAACTACTGAAATGTAAGCTTTGTGAGCTGTTAGACGTAGAATCTAGATCTAGATTTCGTCTAGAATTTACTAAGACAGGCCTGATGAGCTCGGAGTGAGATGGACCGGGCCTCTCCTCTCAGCTCTTCTGCCGAATAAAATCTTCTGCTACCGTATCTCTAGATCTAGATCTAGATATCTAGATTAGAATCTAGACTTATAACTTATATCTAGATCTAGATCTAGACAGTCGAACCTGTGTAAGATGGAATCGCTAGGGAGTCAGAAAAAAATTCCGTCTTAGACAGGGGAATTTAGGGGGGGGATTGGGGGGTGTCAGAGGCCCAGCCGGTGGGATCAACATTCGGCGCTTTTTCGGTAGTTCCTACCCCGCAATTTTATTCATGGGTTTGGGCCACAAGAGTAGGGCGGTTTCAGGGGGGCTTGCCCCCCTGACCTAATAAAAATAGGAAGGGGGGTTTCAGGGGGGCATGCCTCCCTGAATTTTATCATAATTTAATGTTTTGCAGTTGTTAGGTTTGATATCTCTGATTATGATATCTTAGCCTTAGCTCACCGCGAATCAAACGTATAGATCTAGATCTAGATCTAGATTCTAGATGTAGGACAGGCTCAAATAAGGGGGGTGGGAACTACCGAAAAAGCACCCAACATTCAACATGGTCTGCAACTGCAAGCAGTGTTGAAAACTTGGCGATTTTGTAGTTTCGTTCGTTAAAATTAAAGTCAAGCAAGGGGGTTTCAGGGGGGCTTGCCCCCCTGACCTAAAAAAAAAATGGAGGTGGGGGGCCTGAATTTTATCCTAATTTGATGTTTTGCAGTTAGGTTGCATCCCTGCTCTTTGTGTAGCCTAATTCAAATAGTATTTGGCCTTCAAGACTTCTGGATTTCTTCTCTGAATGTAAACAAATGGGTCGTGGACTTTAACGAATGGAACTACAAGATCACTGAAAACTTGTTCACACCTCTCAGTCTCAAGTCACCATACCCTCGAGTTTCTGACATGCATGCATAGATAGATCTAGAATCTAAATCAAGAGTCTAGATCTAGAATCTATGTCTATGTTGCAGTCTGACTTCTCCATTGTCACCAGTGCTTGCATTTCATAGAGTCATAGAGAAGGAACACCTGGCACTTTTTCGGTAGTTCCCACCCTGCAATTGTTATTCGCCGGTTTTGGCCCCAAGAGAAGGGGGTTTCAGGGGGGCAAGCCCCCTGACCTAATAAAAATATGATGGGGGGTTTCAGGGGGACATGCCCCATGAATTTTACCATAATTTGATGGTTTACAGTTGTTAGCTTTGATCTTAGCTCGCCACGGATCAAATGTGTATAGATCTAGATCTATATATATAGATCTCTAGATTTCTAGATCTTAGGATGTAGATCTAGATATCTAGGCTCAAATGAGGGGGGTGGGAACTACCGAAAAAGCGCCCACTGTTTAACCTCAAAAATGACAAAAAGAGAAAGGTTTGAACAACCCTTTTGCTTCCACCCATAGCCCCACCCATCGTTGTAATGTAATTTTTAAAAAGTGGCTATCCTCACCCTGGGTGAGAATAAAAATACGATCGACCTCTCACCCCGGGTGAGACTTGCCAGTGTTGGTTATTCTCACCTGGTGTGAAACAAGACCTGTTTTTTCCTAATTTCGGACTGTCTATTGGTGTGGATGATCAGATTGACAAAACAAAAGAAGAAATGGTATTTTAATAGCACAAAAGTAAGCTAATTTGATCGTGTACAAAGATGCTACGGCTATTTCACTTTTCGAATCGAGCCGAACTACACGGGTCGCCATTTTGTTTTGCCCGGAAATTCTCGCGCTACTCCTCTCTCTTTCTCTCTCTCTCTCTCTCTTTCTCTCTCTCTCTCTCTCTCTCTCTCTCTCTCTCTCTCTCTCTCTCTCTCTCACTGCCCACGGACAAAATTGCACGCTTTTGACAAGACCGCTGGAACGTTTGTTCATGGCACAGAATTCTACACTTGTTCTGTTCTCACAGTGTAGAATTCTGTGGTTCACGGTGAACGCTACACTGGTTGGGTTAGGCTGTCACAGTAAACGCACACCGGGTGAGAATAGCTACAGCTAAGTCGCGAGCGCGAGAACGGAACTGAATCGCCACTCTTCTCTGCGGAACACGATTCGTGATTCACTTCAACAGAACGCGGAACAGTATCGCCTTCCGATTCCCGATTCACTCCCGTCGCTGTCACCACCTTGTAGCTTGTTTGGAACCTACAGCTGGGTTGCAAGTCAAGTCACGAGCGCAAAAACGGAACGGAACACTTCTAGTATGGCTCCCCTTATTTTACAAAAAAGATGGCATGAAGTCCAACCCCCCTATTAAAACCAAATGAACGGGTTCCAAACAATAGACACAACAAAGGAATTTTATGGAGCCATTGTTTTAGCAAATCATGGGGGAGGGGGGGGTGAATTTTTTGGGGTCGCTAATTGAGGTCAGTATAGCAGCGCAACGAAGGGTGAGGAGTGAAGAGGATGGCGGGACAACAAGAGTGGGACTCGCGAAGTGGCGTTAATATGACACTGTTCCGTTTCACGTATACAACGAGCCCGAGACTTAGTGTTCCAGGAGCGCTCGCATACTCACGATTCATTGAAGTCGACTGAATCGTGAATCGCCACTCTCAGATTTGGCGAGCAGGATCCAGCCCTAAGAATAGCCAAAAAGCTCGCCTGCGCTATTCTCACCAGGGGTGAGAATAGAGGTGGCCATGTGTAATAAAAACGGCTGTTGTTATTCTCAACCGGGGTGAGAATAATATCCGTATATATTCTCACCCGGGGGGAGAATAATAGTATCTAGATCATCTATACTCTCACCCGGATGGTGAGAATAAAATGAATATTATTATTATAAAAATTCTCACCTGGTCTGAGAATGCAAGGGATTTTTATTGTAAGGCCAACCTGGGTGTTCAGAACGTATAGAGGCCTAGCTTGATCTAATAGGATGATAGAGAACAATTTGTAAATTGTAAGAGTGACCTTTCGTGAACTGCCCCCAGAGCGCTAGCCAATTTTTCTAGGCTCCTGCGGGGATTTAAATTGTTTTGTTTTTTTAAATTTTAAGGGAGTGTTACAGACCCGGTAACCGGGAACAAAGTCCCGAAGTATACAGACCCGGTCGATAGAATCTACAATGACATATATATGCTTTTTTTCATTTCATCATAGGTGACACTTTACTTTAGATTATAAAATTTGCAGATTACTGAAGCATCTCATCTCAACAGTCAACAGCTCTAGTCTAAAAGACCTAAATTCTCTTCTCTCACTCTCAGTGACTGCTGTCAGGTCCAGGACTCACGTAGCATTTAGGAGTCCAATAAAAGCCTGATCTTTGACTTCGGGAAATGTTCCTGTTTCTCCTGATAGAAGGCCTTTATTTGAGTTTGGTCTAGGGTGGCTGTGATCTACTGTGCTATTCAGAGATATGTATATGATCCAGGGTTGGTGATTTTTTTGATAAAAATAAAAAAAATCAATTTTTTAAATTTAAATCGGATTAAAAATTTATTTTTATTTTTTTTTTAAATGCCGACTCAGTTTGGGATTTTTGGTGGCTAAAAGTAAGTTCTTTTAGTGCAAAATGCATTGTCTTTATTTTAGCTAATGATTAATTTAAGCAGCTGCAATTTTAGAAAGCCTTAATCTGCTATATCCAGTGAATTATGGCTACAGACAAAAAATGAAGAAAATGTCAGTCTAAAAGGAAGGGGGGGGGGGGGGGGGGGTGTAATTATGCATAGATAAACTTGCATTTTATTACATTGTGTGTGTGTGCGCGCGCTTGTGTTTGTATAAAAAGAAAAAGAAAAAGCTAATTTCAATTATGAAAAAAAAGTAAATTGAATACAGTAATTATTTTACTACTTACAGTGACAGGGGTGAAAGCAGACTTTTAAGCATGATTATTTTAGTCTACTATACCTTATCTATCTGTTTTATAAAGCCAAGGAAAGGAATTCTGAATGTTTAAAGATATAAAAACAGAATACATTTTTTTAAAGTGATTTAAATCACTGAGTTTTATTTTTTAAATCAAGTTGATTTAAATAAAACAAAATCAACTGATTTAAATCAAACCAGCTCTGATTTCAATTATGAAAAAAAAAAGTAAATTGAATACTGTATTATTTTACAGTGAAAGGGGGGAAAGCAGACTTTTAAGCATGATTATATTAGTCTACTAAACCTTATATCTGTTTTATGAAACCAAGGAAAGGAATTCTGAATGTTGAAATGTAAAAACTGAATAAAAATAAAAAAATTTAAAAGTGATTTAAATCACTGATTTTTATTTTAAAAATCAAGTTGATTTAAATTTAAAAAATCAACTGATTTAAATCAACCCAACCCTGATATGATCGGGCTCTGATTTTGATTTTTTGTCCTTAATGATTGACTCTACTAAGTCAAGTGTATGCTGTCAGTGTCAGTGTTACTTTTGACTGACTCTGTGTTGACTTGAGATTCTCAAGTCTCATATTACTGAGTCTGGAAGCTGCATTCTGTGTCCCAATGTTTAACTTGTTTATAAATAAATATTGTTTTACTTAAGTTGAAATAATAATAATCAACAATATAATGGTGTGCGTACAACAACAAGACGTTGAGAAAGCAGTCGTAGATGTAGCAGGCTTCTTATTGAAAAATGGCATCTCCGGTTTTACTCCCAAGAGTACTTGAATATCCATAGAGTAACTTTATGGGTTGTGTGTTGGGTTAGGATAGAGTTACTACTGGTATTGAAATGTTCGGGGCCAAAACTAGATTATCCTTGAAAAATTAGACCCCATGCCAGTTCTAGAGTATTTCTGTAACTATGAACTGTTCTAGCATTGAATTACAATTGTATTTCTATAAGGTAGTCCAGTTTGCGTAAACTATTATTCTTCATTTTTATATACATAAATAAAATAATCTTTTTTTTTCAGTGCAAGGAATGTGCAAATCCTGGAGCATTGATGCTAATCGTATTGTGAATGAATGGATGGCTTTCTCTGCCTCAAGGAAAGTCAACTTGTCAGTGGATACGTTGGATGTGTTTGATCGAGAAGTAAGTCGATAAAGAGGAGAGATCATCCGTGAATAATCCAGTGATGTGCCCTGAACTGCGGGTATTGAATTTTATAGTATGCTTTCCTGCTTTGGCTTTGGTGAATGCGAAGGAAGCACCTCTTGTGAATTTGTATACTCAAGGGAGTTGAGAGTTCATTTAATTTTGTTTTAGAAGATTAAATCTCATGAATGACAATGGTTGGGATGGGGGCACACACATTAAAATTTCTGTATTTACTCAGGCATTGAATGTGGCCAAAGATTGGTATGACAATAAGAGTTGAAACTTAAAAAGTAGCTAGAAATAATGAAACAATTCATGTGGTTCACTTAAGATCAGAATGTTTTGTTTTTAAGCGCTAAAGGTGTCTTTGTTTTGCAGTCCGTGCCGGCTTCAAACACGTTTCGGACTCAAGCACGGTTAACGGCTCTTACCGAATTTTTGCTATATAAATTACACGCCTTTAAGCACGGTAACTTCGGCTTCGGGCACGTTTCATTTACAAGACAGTCAATACTTTCATGATGACCCATCAAAATTCGAACAGTGTACACCGCAGCAGTGAGTGTGTTAAAAGTGAAACACAAAAACGCAAGTGATGGAGACACACTTACGCACGCGGAGAGGAAGGCAAAGAGATGCACACAGCCGCGTGCATGGACATGATAGGATCTAGCCTAAGGCAAAGCTACACTCAGACGAAAAAAAGAGAAAGGGAGGCTGGCTGCGATTTCACCTTTGCCCCTCGCTATCCGATAATCATGATTATGTATCGCGCGCGAAGTGTGATGAAGGCGGTGGTTTGAATGTGGCACAGCGGACAGTGGTACGCACAGGCAGTGTGTAGGCCTAGGCCTTGTGTGCTGTACCGTGACTGGCCGTCTAAATTCAGTTTTCCTTTCCCATTCGACCCCAAAACGAATCAAACGAAAACTGCCGCGGCGGGTTAAATGACAGCGCACACTTGTGCACGACCACTACTTACGAACAATTACAAAAGGTAATAACTCAGAAAATTTTCAACTTAAAAATCTTTGGATATATGAACAATGTCTACTTCGTGCTCAAGCACGCTTCAGCATTAAGCACGCTTATAAATGCTTTCTCCCGATGACCGTGCTTAAAGCAGGCATGATATGTAATCTTTTAAATCTTACTCTTGGTGCACAGGAATTTTTATTTTTTTAAAATTGTAAATGCTTCCCATGGTGAGTAATATTATATAAGCGTTGTCACAGAATGCTCGCCTATTTTGGTCCTGCTTTATTTTCTCAACAAAGTTTTTTTTTTTTCTCAGTGGCTGCTCAAGAAACTTCAGCTGTCGCAAGATAAGACAAAAACCCCTCAGGACAAGAAAGGAAAATTTTATACCAAAGAGAACATTAGCAGGTACAGCTTTGCAGTCATATCTATCAAAATGTTAATGATGAGTGCTTTTTAAAAAAAATCGTTACGCATTGCTATTTTAAGACTGCCTGAAATGTAACTAACTAGCTCTTTGATTTTCTTCATTTGTAAATTTGTATTTTGAAAATACAGACATATATATAAGTACATACTTTTTTTTTTTGGTGAAAGCCACTGTGTGCTCGTTCTGGTTGAACAATGTCTCTTTCTGTCTTCTGTCTGTATAGTGCCTTCGAAAATGATGTTGAAATTCTTGGATCATATGCAACACCTGAAGAAAAGGTAAGAAGCAATGATTATTTGCTGCTGCATGGTTTTGTGGTTTTAATGTGGGGGGGGGGGGGGGGGGGGACTTGTCTGTTCACTTTTTTCCTTTTTATGGTTGTTCAGATAATTGGCTCCTACTCCTTCTCTTGATAAATCCTTGTTCATTTTGTTATTAATTGTTTTTCTCTCGAGTCAATATATAGTATATTTTGTGTGTATTTGTTTTTGTTTTTTGTCTGTAATTTTGCCTTTGATAATTAGGGCATTTAAGTTTAAGTCAGTAGTTCTTTTTGTGCTCCGCCTGTCTTGTGTTACAAAGTAAGATTTTCTTTTTGCTGAGTTTGCCAGTGTGAACATAGATTGTGTTCATGCACACGTGTAACACTGTGGAGAATTATATATAGAAAATTGTACATCTTACCAATATTGATTCAGAGTTATCTGAGTAAGGCTGAAGAATCTTTGTCGTTACGAATGCCTCTTCTGACACTCCTCCCAATTTTTGTTATTCTTTATACTTTCCTTTCAAAACCGTCTTTCTAGTTAATGCCTCGGTTACATTAATAAACTTCCCTTTAAGACACACTGTCTTAGATAGACTCATAATTGTACAATAATGAGTTATTTTTTTCATTCCTGTGTAGTCTCAAGTAACACAGGCAGCAAAACGTCAGCTCACCCCCGAAGATCTCAATTCCTCCAAAAGGCGACAGCTTGGATTAAACAACAAAAGTCCAATGGTGAACGGGTCCTACTCCCCAGTTGCTATTTCTCCGGCTGGGTTAGTACATTAGCGTATATATTCTTTTCTTGTTTCCTATTTTCTACTGACATCTCTGGTGTAATGGTCTGGCTCTTCAAATGTTCTCCTTTCCTTGCAAACCACAGGAGTTTTAGTCTAGCCTGGGTAGGCTCGTTATCAAGGTTATCAAACGTCTTTTTTTTTCCTGTCTGCTGGAACGTTATACGGTTATAATATCCTACCCAGCCTAAGTTGGCCCAACAAAAAGAAATAAGAGCAGCTTGTCCTCATAATGATGATGTAAATCTTTACTCTGTAGTGCTGACGAGTTTATAATTATAAATATAAACGGTTCATAAAGTCACATGTCCTTGTTATCTGAGGTTAAATTCAATAAGGTGGTCCCAAAAACATGTGAGCAATCATGGTGAAATCAGGCGCTTCTCAAAATAATTCAGTCGAAAATACTGACATTTTTCTGCCGGTTTGGCAATATTTATAATTTATGGCTTTTTTTTTACTCAAAAATTTTTCTGTCCATTTAAAAACACATAATTTCTCTGGATAATAAAAGGCTAAAAAATGTGAATGTTCAACTTCCAAGAATTCTCAAGCTATGGAAGTCACAAACTATTCCCTGCGTAGTTTTACCTGTGACATCAGGCGATCCCATATTCCTTCAATCAAAAATACCCCGACATCTATTGAAGACAGAGGGGTATTTTTTTTCAATGACAGATGGACAAATGAGTTGCTTTAAGATGATACCAATCACTTCCTATATATGCCCAAATATTAATGTGCACCTAGTTCCACCGTGTCGCGACACATGAGCTGTGCTTAGGTCCTTTTTCTGCATTTTGAGTTTATGGGCATTACCCAAAGTAACTTTACACAATCTTGTGTATTTTAATAAATACTTAATCTGCTCCATTTGTATGCTGTTAATCTTCTCGACTCACATTTTGTTATTCTAAATCAAAGTTTGAGTCTCATTTGTCATTTGTTTGAAGTGAAAACCTTGGTAAATAGTGAGAGAGGGAGAATGTGATGTGTTTATGTAGTGCTGTGTATTTTGTGTCACAGGCTTATAATGGAAACAGGCAATTTCTTCCCATGAAGGACCAGTTACGCTAATAAAGCTCAATAGAGTTCACTTAAACTGAACTCTGTGGTACTGCTGGATTTGCTTCAGTATGGTCAGGGTTTTTTTGGTTTAGAGGCCGTTGCTCAAATAAATAGAAGATAATAGTCAAGAATTTTCTTTGCTTTCGGTATAATGTTGTTTTTGAAGTATTTTTGTTTGGTGGACTCCACGATATATTGCCCTTTCTATATATATTTATATATATCACTAAGTCCATATCTGTGTTTGCATGTCTTCCTACAGAGCCACACCGTCTGCGAAGTTTTCATCTCGGTCCAATGCAGGCGATGTGGTCAGTGAATTTGGGAACACCAGCAACGTCAAATGGACCGGAGAGGGACATGGCTGTAAAGTCACACATTATGATCCAGATACAGAGTTGGCTGCCAAAATGAAATATATGTTTCACAAAATGTCGGAGAGAGGGGGCGGTAAATATTTTTTTCTTCACTGTATGGGCCTAGGTTTTATATTTAATTGAATTTTGTTTTCATTTTCATTTATTTTTTGGTGCTCAGTGATTCACCTGAAGTGTTTTGCTGTAGTTTTGGCAGTAAATATGTGGAGTTGTTTTGTTTTGCTACAATTTTCAATAATGTTGTTTCAGTTCTCAATGATGTTGTTTCAGTTCTCAATAATGTTGTTTCAGTTCTCAATGATGTTGTTTCAGTTCTCAATGATGTTGTTTCAGTTCTCAATGATGTTGTTTCAGTTCTCAATAATGTTGTTTCAGTTCTCAATGATGTTGTTTCAGTTCTCAATGATGTTGTTTCAGTTCTCAATGATGTTGTTCAAGAGATGGGCACAGTGCTGCAAAATGCTCACGGTATTGAGGACTACGCTCATCTTGCTTTGCCATGTCAGGTTAGAGAGTTGTTACTTTCTGTATCTTTTATAATTTACTTCTTAATTGTTATGTTTTTTAAAGAGTACCTCAAGGCGGATCATCGTCATCATTGCCTTTCTCACCCTGGGTCAGGATATAGGCCAAGGCGGATGAATATACATAAAGTTTGGGGCCTCAAGGGTGCTCAAGCCAGCTTACTTTTAAGTTCTTTTCAGCATCAGGGGTGTGTTTAGGTGTAAGAAGTAGAGCTGTGATGCATTCTAGAAACATAAGACTTATTGCTTCATGCTGATGCTGTTTTACACTTGAACCTCTCCCACACTCGTTTCTAATTTGCTCTTACACATCATTTCTCCTTTCCCTTGTCGTGTTCTAGGAGGCTGTCACTGTGTGCGGCCGTGTGTGCTGCGACAGCATCGGCAAATTGAACAAACAGTCGGTGTTGCTGGAGGGATCTCGAGAGACGTCAGCCGGGAAATGTATCAGCCTTGACCTAACGGATCTCAAGCAGTTCAGCCTTTTCCCAGGACAGGTGGGTGGCTTGCTGGAGTTTTGTGACGTGGGTGTTGTAAAACTCTCAAGGCCTACTTTTGATTGTGTAAAAATAAAGTAATACTCCCTTTTCAAACTGCTTGACCTGGTGCACATCTGGAGTCACTGTGGGGTTGCAGTTACGTCTTACAGGAACAGGGAAGGGTAAAGTGACGATTGCGGGGGGCTATATTTTACTTTTATCCTTTTGAAGAAGAATATCTGTGACATAAAATGCAATCCATCATCCTGTGAGACTAATGTATGCTTATGAATGTGACGCATCTCATATGTGTATTTGTCTTATATCAATGGAATCCAGACGTGCCATCCCTCTCAATGTCTTATCTGTGTCCTTTATGGCATAAAACATTAAGTTCCTTTGCACAGATATTTCCTTACATCTTATCTTTCCTCATCTTCATATCCTCTGTTGATGTACACATACACATGGATGGTTGGTGAGCGTCGTGATGTGGTCTGCTCCTACTTCTTTTCAATGTTGCCTTTAGCCTCACCTGTAACTTTGTAACTGTGTTGTGAGGACTGCCAGATTGGCTCTGAAGTTTTGACTTTCCAAACCCCAAACCCAGAACATATATGTCCCAGATTTTGTGATGTTTTTTTGCTAGGTAGAATAAGGAAGTACCGTATTTGCCTTATTTCTTATGATACTGTGAGATCATTAGAGGTACTTGGGGGAAAAAAGATGATCACAGAAGCGATTACAAATGCAAGTCTTTTTTTTTTTCTTTTTTTTTCTCCAGGTCATCGCCTGTGATGGTGTCAATATAACAGGCAAGAAGTTCAGTGTTCATAAAATCTATGATGTAAGTGTCTGTGTACTGATACTTTAGTGTTTGACAGGGGCTACCAGATGTTAAGAATGTGTACTAAAGCTTAAAAAAGGGTCATTACTTCATATATACGGCTCAGTGTAAGACTGTTGTGTGTTACTTTTGGAAATAGCACACTGCGGAGTCGTACATCAAGCATTTGATATGGAAGCAGAACTATGGTTTAGTTAATATACACCCTTTTTCTGTATGGAGAGAAAAAAATGTTCAGTTCGTGGAAGGAAAATGAGATGTGCAGGGCTATAATAGCCTTGATTTTTTAAAATTGGAGTTGGATTAACTATCTATTTTCTTTTTTGTCTTCCTTTGGTCAGTTTTTCCCTTCTACTTTTTGAAAGTTTTAACAGGTATTACGTTAACATTGTTTTGAAATTGTGTGCTGATTACAGAGAACCACTGCCTTTTTTAGGAATTTTTACTATTTCATTGTGGGTTAGCCTTGTCACTATTTAAGCTATGATTTCATTTGATTTTACAGTATAGAATAATAATACATAATCTGGACTGTCATTTTGTGTAATTTTGATGCCCAGCATATTTACATTTACGAGTTTCCCTTCTTCCTAAGAACTTTCCAATTTTGTGAAAGTAATTAAGATTTTTTTTTACATGTTTAAAAAAAAAAACAAACTTTTTTTGTCTTTTGGCATGCCTGACATCGATATCTAGTGATATATGTATACTTGTGTACGGTCAATTCTGTAAATTTCTTCTCTTGCAGTCTGTTCCAATGCCATTCCCAGAAGTCACTCCGGATTTAGAAAATGGTATGTTTGTTTCACTTCTTTTCTGTATCAGTGTTATTTTTAGTTTTGATTGAGAATCTTGTCATGAAGACAGATCTTCTAGCCCAGAAAACTACTGTTGAATTACTGTTTCTGTGAGTGGTTAGAGGGTACCACAGCCTTGGTCAATCTTACTTTTTTCCCCCTTCTGTTGTTTCTGTTTGGATCGTATGCTTTTACTGTGGGTATGTATAGCTGTGAGCACTGTGTTCAGTCAGTAATGTTTACAAAGCTGGGGGCGTTTAGGATTTCTTTTTTTCCTCCTGTTTCTGTTTGTGCTTTATGAGTTCCCTGCACAAATTACCCATTATTTAGTTGATGGACTTTATTTTTATTCATACAAATACTTTTTCTTTTCAGTGGGCAATCAGCTGAGAGTGATGGTTGCAGCGGGCCCGTATGCTCCAAGCAACAGCCTTGATTACTCCCCTTTGTCGGACCTCATCAAATACGTCAATCGAGACAGACCAGATTTGGTTGTGCTGGTGAGTGATGGGTGCTCTTTGCTCTGTGCCACACTGGAACTCCAGTAGATGGCTCAAAGACACTACTTAAGATCCCTGCTTTTTTCTCTCTAGGTTTTACTTTTTCTCACCCATGAATCACTATTGTGTCAATGTATGATGCAGATCTTAAATTTTCTCAAACTCAAAGAATGACTTGAAAAAGTCTTGAACCATAAGGGTAGATAAATTCAAATTTGAATGATGATTAGCTTTTCTCATTTTGTCTTGTCTTTTTTTCTCTGCAGATGGGACCGTTTGTTGACCTCAAGAATACACTGATAAGTGTAAGTTTGTAAACTATTAATGCCTTTTAAGGCTTTTATGCAAAGAGCACTTTTACTTAGTAGTTGGGAGAAGTTTGTAATTTGTCAAGTTTGTTTTGCTGCCTCTGTAGTATTTTAAAAAAACACTGTTAATTGGTCAGCAAGTTCCTTCATAGATTTTCTTTCCATTTCTATTAGAATGGCACTGTATGGTTAGCATTGTTCTTTATAGAATGCTCACAAACAAATCAGCAGTCCCTAAAAATTATGTGAGCATATTCTTTGTCCATTTATTATGCACTTTAAATGTAAGAACTAAGATTATTCCAATCTTTGTGATGGATACACTATTTGCCAAAAGCAGTTGACAGCCTTAGTCCTAGCCAGTCGTTTAGGGACAGGTTAGCCGGGTACAAGGTTACAATAGTCAGTGGATGTTTGCCTCCACTTCTTTCTACTATTGTCATTACGGGGGGGGGGGGGGGGGGGGCTTATCAAGTTGGAAATTTAAATGTCCAGAGGCTCATCACCGCAACATCTTTGTGAAAATGAGATACCAGATTTTGACAACTGGGAAGGGAAATGACTCGATGCAGCAAAATGTTCTGTGCAGAATAGTTTGTCACTGTTGATCGTTCTCTTTTGTTTTAATCTAGACTGGAGACGTTGAAGAAAGTTTTGATGAATTATTCACCAAGCAGATGGTGGAAATCGGGAGAGCCACTCAAGAGTAAGTTGTTTCTGTTGATTTGTTTTGAAACACTTTTTAAAAAATGATTTGTTATTTAATCTGAATGAGCTATTCTCTTGGCTGTTTGAGGATTCAAGGACCCCCCCCCCCCCCCCCACACACACACCAATGTGTGTCTCTGCTGAAGATTCCTCTTGCCATGAACATTCTTTATGTAAGGATGTATCCAGATTTCCTGTAATAGTTTCTTTTTCAATGATTTGAAGGCATGGGAAACCCTATAACTCCAGTTGTTATTCCTTTATGAAGTTTGAGGTTGTGCCTTTTTTTCCTTTTACTCAATGGCTAGGGTGCTACAACAGTGGGTGCAGGTGCTTTTCCTCTGTGCGAGTGGTTGGAGGGCGCTACTAGAAGGTCCTACCTCTTTTCAATCTGTTGTATCTGTATGTCTATCTTACTTTCTTGTTGTGTCAATGTGCTTCTCGTTGTCTCTGCTATTGTATCCTGCTTTCTCCCAACACGATATTATGATAGCTATTTTGCCAATGTAGGCCTACTCATTTTTACCTAAGCCATTCTGGTGATTAGAGGGCACCACTGGACGGTCCTACTTTTCTTTCCATCTGTTGTATCTGTCTGTCTATTTTATCCTATTTGCTTTTATCCTAGCATTGAATGACCGTTATTGTGTTGATATGCTTGTTGTTGTCTGTCTTGCTTTTTTCTGCATTGAATAATGTTATTGTGTGGAAGTGCTTCTCAGTACTCAATTTCAAGGTTGTTTGGCCTTACAAAATTATTTCTTGGCAGTTTGGGCTGCAAGGTCGTCGTGGTGTCTTCGAGCCGTGACGTCCACCACTGCAGCAATGTCTACCCACAACCTCCTTACAGCATCAGCAGCCATCTGGCAGACGGTTCACAGGTAGGAAGTATTCTGTCTTGGGGAAGGCGTTTCATGTGAATGGCTCTAGGGGTTTGTTCGGATCTGTTAAAACTATTTTTTTATATCTGGGCCAATTTATTTCAGCATTCTAGGGTTCAACAGTATAATAATAATGGGTTTTTTGCAAAAATGGGTTTCAGTGGCGATCACCCGGAAAGTTCCTCCTTTTTTAGAATTCTGGGTTGAGACCTATGTATATGGAAAAGTTCAGTTCTTCTTCACTTGTTTAACTTCTGATTAAGCCCTGTAGAAAAAATTTCAGTGAGAAAGTTGTGGCTGAACTATCATCTGATTTATCCTGGCCACATCAGGCAATTGGTGCTGCTATGAGGGAAATATGGTCATGAATGAATTACAAAGTTGTTTTGCAGGGGAGATAGTTATATTCTGGATTAGCCTGTTAAGAGTTTGTGCAATTACATAATTTTAATGTCAGTGATACCGGGTTTAAAGGTTTGTCGTATGGTTTCTGAGTTCTACAGTCTTGTCCGGTATTTTCCCCTCAGAGGCCGACATCAGAACTGGATGTCCTGCAACATCTGATCTTTGTCTCCGATCCGGCCACTCTCAGGGTCAATGGTGTTGTTCTTGGCCTCACGTCCACCGATTCTTTGATGCACTTGAGCAAGTCGGAGCTGTCTGTGTGAGTGTTAATTGAGTGTTATTGGAATTCTGTGATGACGTAATTGTTTTCTGTGTGGGGAAGTGAGATAAGATAGATGTATCTTGTGGAAGTGTATCTGTTAAAGTGTTAACTGTTACCTGTGTTGGAATGTTTTTGAAGGGAAAAAAACGTAAAAGCTTGTTCTCAGTTTACAAGGGTAATTGTTTTCAGTGCAGGGATGTCTGTTGGTGAAGTGTATTTATACACCAATTGTTTTCTTTGTTAGAATAGAGCTGAGGAGGAATACAATTTTCTAGATATGGAATTTACCGTTTTAGTCAAAATAATTTTTCCCTTTTCAGCGGAGCGCCTGGCGGGTCTGACAGGATGAGTCGTCTTGCTCAGCACATCCTCCGTCAGCGCAGGTGAGTAGAGCTGTCAGTGTCACTGTTGACGTCACATGTGGTCGGGCTTTCATTGATACTAAGTCTATTCAAACACTTGAGTCGTAGGAAACAAAAAATTCATTGAAATGTTCATTTGACTAGATAATATGAATGAAACAAAAGTAAGAATGATGTCACTACATACAATGATATCGACACCTCTATTCCAGAACATGTTTATTTCTTTTCTGTGGATTAATTTGCTCTTTCCTGATGTGTTCCCAATTTGCTGGTTCTCCTCTGGCCTCTAGATTTTTTTCCTGTGTAATACCTGTATTCTGTGATTTTATGTTCATGTTTTTTGTAGTAAAACAAGGAACACAAAATTACCCAGAAATAACCTTTCTGATGTTGATTTTTATACAGTTTGATTGATTGTCTTCAGTTGAAGTTGAACATTGAGTCACTTCAAATGTGAATGAAATTCCATCTCCGCAATCAGTCGTTCTGGTAGATCTGAATGGCTTACAAATTATCAGGTGCTCAATTTGTTTGAGACTTTATTTGAGAATAAGGTTTATTTTATTCCTACGATAGTGGTTTTTCGGGTGATTTAATAGAGAGTGATAGTGGTGGTGAGAAACCAATGGTTCCCTCTAAAATAAAAGAGCTACACCTACAACTGCTAGTAACAGAAAAGGGAGAAGCGCTAGGAAGCCTTTCTTGATAGGTTCAGACTTCGGCAGTTCTTCCGCACAGACAACTACTATACTGCCGTAAGCTGACGAAACACCTTTTTTTTTTTTACCCTACTTGTGTTTAAAAATGAACCTGAAACGAACTAGTTTTAGAAAAAGAGTTCAGATTTCGGAAGAATGCTACTTTTAAATGGTTACGTTGATATAAAGCCTCCTTATCTCGAAACTGCTGTGAACTGAAAAGGCGCACTCACTGGTTGTACTGTGGACGTTGTTACAAAACATTCTTGTTGTAACCCTGCTTACTGCACACAGAGGTGTATTGGATGTAACTTATGTAAAATCTAAGTAATCTCAAGAAATAAAAGTTTGGTGCGTTTGCGTCAAATAAAGACGTGTTTTTTCATAATTGGATCCATTTCGAAGGAATGGATATTGCTGAGGAGATTCAACCCTGAGGGGTAAAGTAGGTTGGGGGGTGTTGTTGTTGTTGTTTTTCTTTCCTTCCCGTTTTGAAAGTAACACATTTTACTAAGTTTTTCATTGCTGAAAAAATATGACTGAATTTAACAATGGCGGGTTTTTTGTTGTTGTTTGTTTGGTTGGGTTTTTTTATCAATATTTTAAAATTCTACACAGGCCAAGCTGTATCGTGCATGCTGCATACTGCTTTCAGATTGTCTGTCTAGATGCAGAAAATCATACATACAGTAAGGATGCAGAATATTTTGTACTGTTGAGACTGTATCTTGTACATATGTTCTTTCCCCTGGTACATTCTGCAGCTACTATCCTTTGTACCCACCGTCGGAGGACGTCAACGTGGACTACGGGATGTGGGAGGCCCACGCCCAGCTGCCTGTCATGCCACACCTGTTACTCATGCCCTCTGACCTCAAAGCTTTTATCAAGGTAAACTTGCCTGTGTATTGATGTCAAAGTTTGAATCAAGGTAAACTTGTCTGTGTATTGATGTCAAAGTTTTCATTACGGTAAACTTGTCTGTGTATTGATGTCGAAGTTTTCATAAAGGTAAACTTGTCTGTGTATTGATGTCGAAGTTTTCATCAAGGTAAACTTGTCTGTGTGTATTGAGTGCATTGACCTTAAAGAAGACTCTTGGAATAAAGCTTGAAATAATCTTTCCAGTCCATGGATTTTTTTTTTTATTCCAAGCATTTTGTCATAGAAGTCGGATAGTAATGAAATCTTCCTATTCAACTTGTTTACTCCATGGCTTGACATTTTTCTTCTTTATCATGAGACTGGTTCTGATTTCACTCTTCCGTTAATTCAGATCTTCTGGATCTTGTTCTCAGGTTCTAAATTAATTTGTGTTTTCATTTTTTTCCAAGCTCAAGGTGATTATTTGTGTCAGTGTGATCATTTCACTCAATATTCAGCTAAAACTGTGTTGAAGATTGTTGGAGGGTATTATTGGTATATCTTTGGTTCTTTTCTGTCTGTGTTGTTTCTGTATGCTTGTCTTACTTTTCCAATAATTGACTGATATCGTGTGATTGTTTTTCTCTACTTCAACAAAAAAAAAAGTTTACCCAGTTCTTTTTCATGTGTCCTCACTCCACCAGGACGTCGATGGCTGCTGTTTTGTGAATCCTGGTCGCTTGACCACCGGCCTTGTGGGTGGAACGTATGTCAGAATGGTCATTGATGTCCCAACCCTCGCTTCTTCATCATCGCCATCATCGTCATCTCCTCCCTCCTCAGCCTGCCGGGCACAGATCGTGAAAGTGTAGTCATGAACATTTGTGTCTTCCCACCCATTGTTTGGTCTTAATCTATTTTGTTTTTGTTGGGTTCTTTTTTCTTTTTTACATACAACTGCATGTGTAAGATAGCTCAATGAAATGAATGAATCTTGAATTGTAAATATCTGTTGATATATGAGACCTGGATAGATTTTAGATTTGACTTGTTTGAAGCTTCATGATTAGAAGGTTAACGGACACTCTCTCTTAGCGGGTGGTTGGCGGGTGCTCTGGTGTGGTCTGCTCCTTCTTTCCTATCAAACACCTATCATCCTTATCTACCCTCCTTCTTTTTTATGTTTGTTACGGTACTCGCTTGTAACACCTCTAATCTTCTGGCGCTCATATGACCTTACGCAGTTGCGAGCGCCGAAAAACCTCTACTAAAACAAACTAAACTCTCTCTTATTTACAACAGAGGCAAAACAGTTGAGCAAGAGTTGAGAATGTTGTTACTGTTATTGCTGATAGACGTTATAAAAAAAAAAGATTGTAGATACTGAAAATAGCATTTGTTGTCCTCCCCCCCCCCCCCCCCATCGACCATCGATTCACTTTGCTCCTCCTCGACACTTGACTGTGCTTCCAATCTTCCGTATTTTTTCAGAAAATCCGTACTTTCTGACAGTTCTGTACTTGCTCCCTCATTGTTATCAACTCCATCCGTAAAAAAAAGTGATGGCGATAGCGTAGGGCTACCGAAATTCCGTGACAAAGGATCCGTACTTGCCTTCGTATCGTCTCTTATAAGTTCCGGATACTTATGGTAATTCTCGGCAATAAGTTAATGTTATAGGAACCTGCCACATTGCGCATCTGTAATCAGCCGTTGTCCTGCTATACATTCTTTGCGGGTAGGTCTGTAATATATTTTTTTACCTCCAAATTGATCGAAATCTGGCTAGCCATGATAGCGAACTTTCTGTGCCAATTTCCTCCTTTCTTTCTTCAGTCATTCTTTCTGTCTATCTTCAGATTGTTGCAGCTGCTGGAAAATCTGCGAGTTAATCAAGTAAATTGGCTTGTGATTTTAGATAGAAAATCACTATTTAAAAAAAACTTTTTTTCAAATTTTTCTAGGTCTCGAGTTGTTGTTATCGATCCAGTCTAGGTCTAGAGAAATTGTTTGTGTGATGATTTTATGGGAGCATGATAAGGGCTGCGAGGAAATAAATTTATGCTTCAACTACTAAAATCAAGAATAATTCGAAGTGGTGTTCCGGGGTGGTGACATTTGACTTTCAAACATAACAATGGAGGAAAATTAGAGTATAACTGTATTGTCAAGGTGCATGTCTATTCTGATTCAGTATTTCCAGGTTTGCCTTCAGTCAATGATGCGATGACAAAATACAGTAGAACACGACTATTGCGGCACCCGCTGCAGCGGGACCTGACCGGAATCCCCTGTTTTTCTCTATGTAAACTCAGTTACCTGTGCTTGGGTTTAACGGGGCAAGGACATGCTGGAATTTGGATACAGTGGGAGAGATCGAGCTAGCTCTAGCTAGGAGGAAGGGGGTTGGGAGGTGGGGGGCTGTAGGCGGGCTCCATACAGTCAGTCAGCGGTGCGGCGTTGTGATTGGCCAGTCCAGTGTTGAGTAAGGTGGGGCAGGCAGCAGACAGAGATGGTATTGAGAGACGCGTTACGTGAGCCACTTCAAAAGTGATGTGCCAAAAAGTAAAAGAAGAGGAGGGCGTGTAGTGTGTGATTATTCAGTAATTCTCCTTTGCATTCTAATCTTATACTAGCGGGAACTTGACTACGTCGGGATTTTTCTTCTGACACTAAAAGTCCGGCTATAGTCATGTTCTACTGTAATTGACGGAATTACAGTAGTGATGCCAATGGAAACCTGCCTTTAAATATTGCCAGCAAGGGAAAGATATGAAGGTTAAGAAATCAAACACTTCAAAATTTCGGTGAAATAATAGGTGTTTTGAGTTGTTCGCAATCTCTGCAAACTCAAACAGGCTCCCAAATGCCATTTTCAACCCTCTTCAATACCCGGCAGAATTTTCCTTATTTTTGCAGTATAACATAAACATGGATAGCTCGAATTCGTTGGGACCAGCCTCGGTAGTTCGAGGGATATTTTACAAAGATGGAGGTGCAAAAAAAATGGGACCATGTGCACTGTTCGACTGGTGCATAATTTTGAGTCTTCTGTGTTCGACCTATCCTGCTATACTGTATATGTCTCTTCCAGCTTCCATTTGTGATTGCCTTAGACTGGTGGTCTTTATACGAGCGTTTATTATGGGTTTGTTATGGAAACTGGAGTGTGTCGGGGCAATACATGTGTACCTGACGATGGAGCTGAATAAATGGGGCACAGACTGGCATGTAGTATGAAGCACGTGTCGTGTGTTTGTTCAAGTTATGTTTGTCTTGTGATATCCATGTATTGTGTCTGCGTGACTTTGACGTAACCTCTAAATTATTGCATGTATACCTTTGACTTTTATATCCCCAAAGGATTAATAAAAGTGGTATATTAATATTATCATTATTGATATTGTTATTCCTTTGAATTATTATCTTAATGTAGTTCTCCATTTACATTCAGGTTTCTGGTGCTCCTTGGTCCAGCAGGTATCTGTGATGTAGTGGCTATGTTCTTAGCCATGGCACACAGTAAATTTGTGTCACGATTCAGTGAAATCGGGTGCTCTGCAATTTTTGGGCATGTGGAGTTATTGGTATCATCTGAAATCTTGTTCACTTGCCTTGCTGTCAATGAAAAAAGTACCCATCTATCTTGAATAGAAGTCAAGATGCTTGCAATTGAAGGAGGTGGGGTGGGTGGTTGGCGGGTGCTCTGGTGTGTGGTTTGCTTCTTCTTTCCTATCAAACATCTATCGTCCTTATCTCCCCTTCTTTTTTATGTTTGTTACTCTCTTGTAACTCCTCTAATCTTCTGGCGCTCAAATGACCTTATGCAGTTGCGAGCTCCGTAAAACTTCTACTAAAACTAAACTAAAGAAGGAGGTGGGGGTCGCCTGGTTTCAGCGGTACAATTAGCTAGAAAATGACGCCCAAAGTACGGTTTGGTAACTTCAATAGCGCTAGAGTCCTTGAAAACTGAAAAATAAACTTATTTTGTGGCTTTAATCGTATTTCAGTAAACTTCACATGGAAATATGATTTTATATGGACATACAAGGTATTGAGTCAATAAACAAAAATACAAAAAATAGGTAAATTGGCAGAAAAATCCGTTTCTTCGATTTCATTATTTTGACGAGCGCCTGATTTCACCACAATGCCTCGCATTTTATTTTTGGTTCCTGTGTGGGGAAAGTTGTTTTTAACTTTACTCTCTCTGTCTAGCTGGAATACTGTTTCCCATTCACCTCGAGTTGACTTTGACAGGCAGAACTGCAGCAGCCTGCCTCACGAATGATGGGCATTCTGTTGATTCTGCCTGCAACACTTACTACTTTACTACTTATATTATTACTCTATTACTATACAATCAAATAGTCTTGAACTTGAACTACTGGAGGATCAAGACTTGAATAAAAAGAGGTGATGCTGGCTCTACTGAGGTGGTCGTTGTGTGGAGGTAAGAACAATAAGTGGATAGCTGGTAACAGAAAGAAGTGCGATGTAGTTGTTAGGCTCATTTACATTGTATGCGGAAGGCGTGAGTTCAATACACATGGAACAGGAAATTGAGTAAAACCCTGATAACACGTACTTCATAGACCAGAGAATTTTTTTGTGTTAAGGGGAGTCGCAATGCCTAATGATAGTGGGATTGGAAATGATTTCATGTTACAAGTCTCGTGTGAGTGTGAAGCAGTCTCTTGTATTTTGTGTGGGGGGAGGTCATTTAGTCCACATGCTGTATCCCTCTGACTCAGTCTGGGTTGACCCTAACCAGATGAGTTAAAGGATGATGCCTGCCTCCTAACGGTCTAAACCGAGTCGATTTGGGTGCAAAACATTCATTAACAACCTGGAAAGACCGCCACTCAAACAACAGCGATGTCCATTTTGTGAAATGACCCGTGTCAAGGGGAATACTCCTAGCGAATGGTAGACTCCTTCAGCCTTCAGTGCGGTAAAAAGTACGTGGCACAACTTATCCTCAAATACCTGTAGTTTTTTAACAGGGAAATCGTTGTCATCCATACTTTGCACAGCATTTTGTATCTATTTATTTTATTGTCTTAACTTAATCATATTTTTACGCGAATGAGGCTACATAAAAAAAAGCTATAAATGTAGGCCTTTATAAAATAGCCGTAAATCTCCGTCACGCAAAAAATGGGATTGTTCACAGCACTTCCCGTTTCTCACTCACTATTTTGCATACGGCCTACGTCACAGCTCACCAATGACACTTTTTAGTGGCAAAACTTGTTACAAGAAATCAATTTTACAATTAACTCTTTTGCACTAAAAGTAAGTTTTCAAAGCAAGTGTTCTTTATAAACATTAGATCTACTTCACGATTTGATAAACAATGACAGACTTGCTTTGACAAGCGACATTGTCAAAACTGCAAACCTTTTAGAATCTGTAGGAACTACCCACTTGGATTTTTTATAAGTCGTTAAGACAAATTGATACAAGTCATTGTGCAAAAGCTGGAGAGTCTCTGTTCTATAGTTTGGGAAATGTTTGACAAAAAGTTGCGCCACGAATTTTTAACCGCGCTGTACTCCAAATTAAGCCAAATAGTGCGCTCCTTATTCAGAACAAAGTCAGAATGCAGTCAAGGTTGAAGGATACAATCATTGCAACAACACAATGAACAAGTCTCTGGGTAGATCCAGAGAGTAATTAAAGTCTCTGGTAAATCTTGACTTTAAAAGTTCGGTTGTCTCCCTTGTCACGGTGTTCATGCTCTCTTTACGATCTTCTTGTCGATCGTTGGTCCCCGGCAGGACAGAGCCCAGTGTGTGTTTGAACGTCTCAAATAACCGAAGTCGGTGTGGCCTAGTGGTTAGGCTCTCGGACTCGCAACCGTAAGGTCATGGGTTCGAATCCCGTCACGGGCCCGACGTTGTGTCTTTGGAAAAGGCACTTTACACAAATTTTCCTCACTTCACCCAGGTGGGAATGGGTACCCGGCTTTAGACAGCGAAAGATATTGTCAGTGTGTTAGTGTTTGAGCGCTTAATCAGCTGCTTGCACTGCATGCTTCCCAGGAAGCTGAGAATGTTTCGGAATGTTCTATGGTCTGCTGGGGTAATAATATAGTGTAAAGCGCATAGAGCCTGCTGTCGAGCGGGGATATGCGCTATACAAATGCTATTTACTATTATTATGAAGTCCGAAGTCCTCATACTCAAACCTCCATCTATTGGGTCGAAGACCTGTTCTTCGTCCTTGATTCCAACAGAATTCTCCTTTTCATAAAGTAAAGGCAATTTGCCTTTTAACAAAGATGTAAATATTGTTATTTTTTCAGATTGAAATTTTTACTGCAACATTTTTAACCATTTAATCCGATCATTGACGAAAATCAAGCAGCTCTGTGAACTGTTGTGGATGCAACCAACTTGTTTCGTGCGCTTAAATGACCTTATGACCTTTATAAACGACCCATCACACCCCTTTTCCACACAAATTGTAAGATCACGAAGCGGCAAATATGTACCTCCACAAACAAAGAAAGAAAGATATAAAATAAGTTTTTTTTACCTTCTAGCATAAGGCTTTTGTCAGAATGAGCATAGATGTGTGTTGCTCTTAGAGTATGTATCTATATATATAACTCTAAAGGTCTAGTATTTAAATTCCTGCGTGACAATGTGGTTGAATAATGATGCATTTGATGTACATTTTGTCAGCTTTACTTTTCTTTTCATATATTGAATTTTAATGAGAGTGATATATAATAATTCAAATCTTTTATGCATGCCTGCTTGTGTTTTTCCGATCCTGTACATCCAAGGAAAATTTCCCCCTGGGATAATAAAGCACTGTCTTATCTTATCTTATCTTATCTTATCTTATCTTATCTTATCTTATCTTATCTTATCTTATCTTATCTTATGCAGTACGACCGCAGTAAAACTCTTACTAAAACTAAACTAAATGGATTCGAAACAGTGTCATCAACATGGTAATCAAGCACGATATATATACTCAGCTTTGCTGGCTCTGCACTTTAAATGCAATGTGTACTGTTGTACAACAATGTGTCCTTCACCTTCCGCCAGACCAGCAAGTCGTTTTCGCGTCTGCTCTTAATCATTTATGCAGGCCAGACTTTCTTCACCATTGGGAAGCGTTCCGTTAATGGGAGTCTGGTGAATAAATGATCACGCTCCCCACAGTTGTTCCCAGGAGACGCGAGTTCGATAACTATGAGGGGAAGTCATTTTATAGTTTCTCCGTCTTTATATTTTAGATACATTGTGTGCATGATGTATTCCATTCAGCCAGGGTTGACCCAAAGCAGCCCGCCTCTTTATGGTCTTAATGTTGTCAATAAGGGCATAGAAAATTCACGACCATATTACCATATTGTAAGAGGAAAGCGCACAGACACAGCGAAAGCTTGACTTTTGCTTGCCACAAACAGAGCCACTCTTCAACACCCCCCACCCCTTCTTCACCTGGGCGAAAAAGGTTTCTCTTTCTCTCTCTCTCTCTCTCTCTCTCTCTCTCTCTCTCTCTCTCTCTCTCTCTCTCTCTCTCTCTCTCTCTCTCTCTCTCCATATATGTCTCTCTCTCCCTCCCTCTCTCTATCTTCTTCTCTCTCACCCCTTCCCATCTCTCTCTCTCTCTCTCTCTCTCTCTCTCTCTCTCTCTCTCTCTCTCTCTCTCTCTCTCCCTTTTTTCCTCTCCGAGCGTGTCTGAGTGCAGATCTAAACAGGGGAAGTCATCACACAGCGTTTGGGTCCGAGAGTTGTGCGCCGTCTGTTCATGGCGTCGTCCACATCCCGTTGCTAACGACAACAAACAAAGCGGCGTCCTGGAGATAAGGCATTGATTCTCAACGTGAGGTGAGTCCCCCTCGGCGGCCACTGGGATCGATGAGATTGTGAGTTGTGAGAGAGACAGACGGAATCACAGAGGGTGCTGGGGTGAGCTGATCAAGGGAGTGAGAGACAAGCGCGGTCTTACAGGATTCTGCCCCACTCGATTCTTGTAATTTCTTATCACTTCCAGCGTTTTTCTTGATAGAAAAAGCAGTGTAAAGTGGTAAAGATGGGAAATCATGAGTTATTTCTCGTCAACCATAGAAGTGAAAAAAAAATTGTTTGTTTAAACGGCTCGACATTTCTCCTTAACGGCTTTTTCGAGAGCGACGTTTTTCTTTGGTCTTCCTGATTTATTGTTGTTGTTGTTGTTGTTGCTGATGTTGTTGTCAATTCCATGGTGTTGTTTTTCCCACACAGTAGGCCTATCTGTGCTGTGTTCCTGTTTGTCTGTCTGTCCGTATGTTTGTCTCTTTCTCCCTACAGGTTGTACTTCTTTCACTTCAGCGACTCGGGTATTTTTATCTTCTTTCAAGTGAAATGTGACTGTTGTCAAGTCCACTCACTG